CTGAGCGACTGCGACGTGGACATCAAGTTCGACGGACACTCCACACAGCTGAAGCAGATCCGGCCGCTGCGGCCGCACAACCGCGCGCTCTAGCCGCGCCCACCCTGCCTCGCCGGGGCACAGGGTACAGGGGAGAGCGGGCGATGACAAAGTAATGGACTTCAACATCTCAAGTTACAGTGACAAGTGTTACTAAGAGAATGTAACATCACCAAACGATACAACACCAATGTCTTTTAACCTTTAAAATACAAAATAGTAAATACATTTTATAATGTAGGATGTGCTCAAAACTACAAAAATCTTGTAACCTTTTACTGCCCAGAAGCTTCCAATTTTGATTAGAAAATATAGCATTAATTAAATATATCGTAAAATGCTTTAGCTGAAGTAATGTACCAAAGAGTTAAAAGGCGACGAATATTGTGCAACTTAGAATAAAAATATTGAGCTTAGCAGGTCGTATAGTTCGTTTCATGTTTCCTGACTGTTGTAACGTGGTTTAAAACATACATAACAAATAACTACATCTTAAGAAATTGAATTTGAACTAAACCGAGTGAAAATGCTTGTCTTTTAGAAGTACGGCGTAAAAGTTTTAGTTTAAGTAAGGTGGATCTATATAAAGTTAAGATTTATAAGTATTAGGGCCTGTCCCACCACTGGCCGATAGAGACTCGGATAGCTTAAAAATGACGTCAATGTCAGATAACGAAACAAAATCCGATATTTCCATCGCATATTTTACACGTTAGATTGTTATCAAACAATTTACAATTTGGTGGGACAGGCCCTTAATGAAAAACAACACAATAATTGTTATAAACACTGATATTTGCTTTTTTAGGACTTTGTGAATGCTGGTTACATTCACTTTGGTAATTTTAAAATGAGCTCGAAGATATTTAAAAAATTGCGAATATACAGAACAGTTTTAGTATAAGAGAAATCTCAATATCTCAATCTCTAGTTTAATAACACGAAAGTTACAAAATATATTTCTTTATTAAAATTTTATCAGATATTAGAATACATTTTCAATTATTTACTGCCTCATTAGGAAGAAACGATTACAAAATAGCTAAATAATTTGCATTAATAACATCTAAATATTGCTGTCAAAATTGGCGGGAAAATATGCAGATATCCTTCATCTTGTGTATTCCGTGTTACTAGATGTTATATGCAGTAGTTAAGTTGGTTCGTCCTAGTTGTAAATTAAATGACCCAAAATATATTAATTTTATTTTAATTCAATGGTATTTGTAGACTAAGAAACAGAAACGAATATAGTCGGTTATGGTAGTGAAAATTTAGCTATAGTTAGTAAAATATGAGAGTAGTCCGTTCACCTGATATTATTAGCCTTATAAGCAAAAATAAAAAAAACCTTGTATTTTTCTTCCAAAGTTATATTTTATTTATTTAAAAAATATTACAGAAATGATTGCTCAAAATTATATCTCAGTCAAAAATCTGTGACAAGAATGTACAATTTTTATTGTTTAAAAAATTGCGCCCGATTAAAGAATAAAATGTCAGTTGTGTAACTGTACAATGAAATGGTATGAAATATATTTCGAAAATTATGTAAAACTTTAGTTTTATTTGTAAACATTTTCCTAATCAATACTTTTTATCTACTTAAAGAGAAATATGTTCATCCTTACGACCTCTAGCTTAACACCATTAACTTGCTCTTATGTACATAAATTGTAAATAAGGCCATGTGTGTTCGTATATTCCCCACATATACTGAATAGTAGTCTCAAAGCGGCGACCGAAGGTCTCAGCAGCTGATACTGTTCACTGTGCGCTCGGCGATGGAACACTCGACAGCGGCGCTGCCGAGCTCCACCATCAGCTGATTTACGTACAGGTTAATAAGCGAAGTTGAAGACAGCACGCCCTAACTCACCCCATCCCACATTACAACCCATACGCATGAAAACCTGTCCAGCCATTTGACTTCATTACTTTGATGACCGTAACAATATTTATAAAATGTTAACATATTCACCAGGACCATAGGTAATGTACAATAATATTTAAAAGAATTGTTAAATTAAATAACTTTAATAAAATTATATGATAAATTACACATTACATTTAAAAAAACAGATATAAACATAATTATTTGTACTTCATCGATATAACATAAATTTCGCTTTAAAAACAGTTATATACAATTTGCTACAAATTAGGAGATCCGATATTTGTACACTGGACGGAAACCTCCGATGCCTTTTTACTTAAGGCAACAAACAAATAATAAACTTTAATCTAACATACATTTAAAATAAATCAACAGTAGTACATTGGGGTAGGAATCCCAAATAAAATTTATCTTATGTTAAATACACCAAGCTTGAATTAAATTATGTCAACATTAATTACATAAATAGTGCTTTTAAAGAAAGTAACTTTTCAAAATTAAGAATTCCACTCTTATTTGAGCAGTTTGCACATTTGACGATATAAAACTTTACTGTCTCCATTAATGTATGACTGTCCGATGAGTGAGGCTGCTAGTGCCAGGTGAAGACGCAGTGGCAGAGGAGGAGGTAGAGCGAGGCGACGAGGAGGTGGCCGATCATGACGGGGAAGCCGACGCGGAAGAAGTGCAGGAAGGAGAAGCGGTAGCCGTGCTGCTCCGCCACGCCGGCGCACACCACGTTGGCGCTCGCGCCGATCAGAGTGCCGTTGCCTGCGACCGACACGGACCTTACGTCTTCCACACAGACCTCAACATCGCCCACAATCTTACTTACCTCCTAAACAAGCTCCGAAGAGCAAGGCCCATATGAGCGGCTGCAGCGGCAGGCCGAGGGCGGGGTTGGAGCCGATGGCCACCACCACGCGCACCATCATCGTCGTCAGCGGGATGTTGTCCACGAACGCGGAGATCATCCCCGATACCTGCGATATGAGATACACGATAAATACATGATATTACTGCAAATAACCTAAATAAAGTGGTATCATACAAAGATTAAACAGCGTAAGACTTTAGAAGACAGAATTCTGACGAGGTATTTGTGAAGATATGTCCAGGGAGGTGTACTGACCCACAGTATGAGCAGTATGGCGAGCGCGAGGCGCGCGCGGCCCTCCGCCAGCTGCACCAGCTGCTGCAGCAGCGCGCCCGCCAGCGAGATCAGCCCCAGCCGCGCCAGCGCCTGCAACAATTTACACAGATATTAGACAAGCTGAATAGAACTATCTTGTGAGGTCATAGGATCGACGGTCTTTTCACCCTCATTCGCTTTCCTTTACTATTCTATTCTAACCCTGCTTCTCATATTCCCTATCCCTTTTCGTTCCTGTGAAAAGATCAAAACACTTGTGATTGCTGTACAGTTTACAGTGTATGTGACGTACCTCCATGAGCACGAAGAGTGCAGCGAAGAAGAGCAGAGTGGACCACTCGACCCTGTGCAGCACGGGCTCCAGGTCCGCGCGGTCCGCCAGCAGCAGCAGCAGGATGGCGCCCAGCAGCGCCGTCCAGCTCAGAGACACGCGGTCTACTCGGGGGAAAAGAACATAGATTAAATTTGACAGTAGACCAAATATAACTATGTTTTTATATGTACGTGCTAATGTGCAATATATTAAAGTGAACTCACTGAAGTCAGGTATGGAGTGCAAGAAGAACACGACCACCACGAAAGCGATGGACACCGCCGCCTTCAGCAGCAGCGCCTTGTCCCTGATCTTGTACTGTTTGTATACACTGTCTTAGTTATATGAAGAAAATAATATGAACTATTTGAAATTAAGTAATGTAATTTTTGTCTAGACCTTGTCCTTCAACTCCTGCAGCGTGGTGTGGAAGGCGTCCTCGGGGCAGGCTCTGTGGCTGGTCTCCCGCAGGCGCTGCCGCAGCTGGAGGTGCAGCTTGGCCACATTCCTCTGCAGGCGCTCGCGCACCACCTGCACGTCTTTGCTCAGGTGCGGCAGAGACTCCGCCGCGCGCCGCCATATTGATATCTGGTTGCGGAGATCTACAACACAGTCTCTATTTTGAGAGAGTAAAAGAAAAATGTGTTTGAATGTTCTATAAATAAAGGATATAAGGTATTTAACGTCACTCCAGGATATAGAAGGCGACGTAAAAAGGAAAAGGTATTTTGGTAAGTGTATGTATGAGTGGTGTATGACCTTGTATGTGCCTGGGCTCCTTGAGGCGCAGGCGCGCGCTGTCACGGAACATGTAGCGCACCTGCAGCGAGGTCTGCACACACACCAGCACGATGCCCAGCGCCATGTGCAGCGTGAAGTTGCTGAAGTTGATGCCCTGCATATAGAATGTCACTAATGAACTAAGAACATCAGAGAAGAGCCGGTTTAGAGAGTTTGTGACTGACAGCATGTACGACGGCCTTGTTGGAGGCGACGATGACGTTGGGCGGGTCGCCGACGGGCGTGGCGGTGCCACCGATGTTGCTGTATATGGCCATCAGCATCAGGATCGGCACCGGGTCCAGGTCCATCACTTCGCACAACCTACAAACGTTATTCTATTGTATTCATCCCTGTAGAAACTCATCATCTTCCATTAGAAGCGCTAGATGGTGCTCAGGAGAGGATTTTACTACGAACACTCTAGAATACCCAGGTGGAGACTCCCTATAAATCTAAATCTAGAAATCTATGAGAATGTACATCAAGGTTCACCAAGCAGGAAGCGTTGCTGAAACATGGTGATCTGTGAAATGGTTGACATCAGACGTATTACCTGATGGTGACGGGCGACATGAGCAGCACGGTGGTGACGTTGTCGAGGAAGGTGGAGAGGGCGGCGGTGAGGCCGCACAGCAGGAACACCAGCGACCACAAGCGCCCTCCGGTCACCTGACACATTGTACACTCATTTCTTACAACAGGACTCGCTAAATATACAGTAATAAATCTTATAACATAAATAATCTTCAGGAAGGACAGTCAATATATGTAATTCGTCGGTTTCATTAGTTACACAGTCTTTTTATGGTATATTCTGCAATGCGATGTACCTCGAATGCAAAGACAGCCAAATAGTCAAATATGCCAGTTTCCGCCATGATGGCCACCAGCAGCATCATACTAAAGAGCAGCAGCAGCGTCTCCACGTCCAGCCAGGATATGATCTCCGGCAGCGAGGGCCGCTCCCCCACCAGGGCCAAGGCCGCTATCGACGTCGTCGAAACTAAAACTGCGGCCATTGTGCGGTGTATTATCTGAAAAAGTAAATAAACATATAACGGCCTAACTAAAGTAACCACCTAATTAAAGTTCTGAGAAAATTCAATGAGGGTTTCGCAATTTTTTTGGTGAAGGAAAGGATTCCGATTCTCAGATTCAGATTCGCTAATTGTCACTAATGAAGACATTGCGAGATTGCGGCTGTTAGTGTATCAAACTTGCCTCAAATATAATGAGCACGTACAGAGCGCACAGCAGCACGGCCGCGTAGAGCACGCCGGCCACGCCCGGCCGCGCGGCCGCCCAGCTCAGCGCCAGCGCCGCCGTCTCCGCCCCCGAGCTCTTCATGCGCAGGACGTACGTGCTGTTGCTCTGCTGCAGCTCAAACTTCCTAGATCTTTCTTCACCTGCGTTGTAATCTAGATCTTCGTCTGCTAAGAATACTGTCCAGGAGTCTGGTGGCTGGAATGGTTAATGGAATTTGACAAAACTTAAGTTACTATTGTTAGGAATAAAATTAGTACCGTGCTATAGAATTGGCGCAACTCTAGATTATCGGCATAAACGTCACGTCCCTAGCTGACAGCTGTCAATGTCATTAGAAGTATGGATAGATTTGGCGCGCATCCTAAGTCTTGACGAGAAGTATTGCTCTGAGTTAAAAGCGACAGTATCAATTAAATAAGTTGTCTAATACTATATAGGGATCGAAAACATTCAAAGAAAGAAAGAATTGACTCTTCTTAAGTCTTACTTAAGGTTTAGTATGATTATGTTACCCTTACTGGCTAACGGAACTGTAAAATTACCATTTCGTCTCGTATCTCAGTTGAAGAGTTCCACCTCTCGAGCCAGACCACCATCCTGTCCCTGGTCTCCAGTTCGCTGGAGTTCATTTTGATTTCCGCGTGCTCCGACAGGAAGGGTCCTGATACTTTGACTAAAATGGAGGTCGCTTCTAACGGGCCGATGGTATAATCTGAATTAAGAATTTAACACTCAATAGTTATATTGTTTTTTCTGTATTTTGAAAGACCTATTTCCCGTTGTAATAAACATTTTGCCGTAGACGATGGCATACAATATAGAATAAAAGACTGTGGAATATTTTAATTTCTAGTTATAATAAACAAGACATTAAGTTGCGATCTGGCTTTAGATGAACACATACTTTTAATTATTCCTGGAGGTATAGCAGTGTTCTTGAAGACTTCCTTCTTCTCGTCGCACGTTAGGAAGACCACTGTGAAGAACAACCAGCAGCCCAGCAGTAACGTCATCTTTATGTAATATTTTGCGTCCAATAACTGGAATTATCTTTCAAGTTTAACAAGATTCACTTTGTTCCAAATGATGATATAAACAACACTCAGATTATTGTATATCGTGATTTTTAACCTATTTAATAATAACTTTCGCCCGCGACTCCGTCTGTGTGGAATTAAAAAACCAAAGGTACCTTATGTGTTTTTTTCCGGCTAAGCTACATATTTGCTATATTGCATCGATATCCGTTGAACTGTTTAGGCTACAAACTTTAACAAGCATCCATCCATCTAAATTTTCGGATTGATAATCTAGTTAACCTAATATTACATATAAATGCGAAAGTTTAGATGATGGATGTTTAGATGTTTGTTAGAGTTTGTAGCCTAAACGGCTAAAGGGATCTCGATGAAATTTAGCAAAGATGTAGAGGATAGTCTGGAAGAATACATAGGCTTTATACTTTTGTTTTTTTATCCAGCGCTGACGGAGTCGCGGGTGAAAGCTAGTATTAGTATATAAAGTGAAATTGTGTAGATAGTTATAAGTTTTAGGGTCAGTTATTTGCGCAAAGGATTTGAATTGAAAATTTTTATTTATAAAGTTTACATTTTCCTTAACAACTGTGTATCAAAGTTGGTCTCTACAATCAAATCACATTCAACAAAAATCAATTTCATTTAAATGGTAGAGCAATAAAATAAAAACTTTATTGTGACAAGGTGCTAATAACACACGTCAATATAAAATACATGACAGCAAACAAAGACCCTGTCGTGCCATATTTAGATAAAGCGCTTTGAAATTAAACATAATTTCCTTTAAAAACTTCGATCTTTCAATAATGTTTTTGGTAATCAACTAAATGTCAGGCTTCGAAGTAAATAATCGTACGAAGAACGTATTATAATGTTAATTGTGTTAAATCGTAAGAAAATCTAAAAAAAACGTTTTTGAAATAAGTTGCCTACCGTATTTTAGTTTTAAAAGGAGTATAACGAAATAAGTTTGAAAGTAACGTTGAGTAAAATTAGTTATTTGTACATAGGAACCATCAATGTTAGGAATTAACGCAATTACGTTTTTTTTAATAATATACAGTTTGGAAAATGTTACCTTTCTTTGTAATTTGCCGACTGGCAGTTGAATTTGACTGAAAAGTAAATAAAAGCAGCATTAAGAAAATAATAAAAAATGATCCATAATGTTCTAAAAGTTTGTTGTTAGAACTTCATCTTTGTCTTTTGTTTTACGATCTAATTACGCCAATGCAATTAACATACTACTACTCATAATTATCATCACTCCTACCCTATCCTACTCCCGCAGTGCCGGCGCTCCTGGTTTTCATCCTCCAAATATCTCATACATCATCTCAGTCATCACTTCCTTCTTGATGTCACCTTTCACGCAATCCATTTCTTCGTAGGTCTACCTCAACCGGCGTAACTCCACAATCATAAATAAACTTCTCTTACTAACACCCTTATGTCAATTTTTGTTTGTTACTGTAGCAAATCTGTCTTAACTACTTGTCTAATATTGAAATGAGATGTTATTATCGTAATCTATATTAATTTTTAGGAATAAAATCAATTGAGTTTCTTTGTTTTTAAACTTAAATACATACGTATTATCTTTGGTATCATTGTTTCCAGAATCATCGACTATAGCGTCCCCGTTCGTACCCGCAGCTCCGTCTTTCCCGTCCAGTAGCGGTGCTGAATGCACCTCGGACAGGCGCTTGGTACCCTCAGATTCATTATCTCCTACTGGATTGATCTTTGATTTATCTGGAAGAGAATATGTGAATGTTTACATGCTTAAAACAGCGCCAAGCGTTCTATTCAGAATGTGAATAAAATTTTTGAGGTTATGAAACACTACAAACTCTGATTGTAAATATGCTCTATGCCATTTGCCTTATGAGGGGCTGGTGTGGGCGGAGAAAACTGCCTCCCATGAAGTTTGAAAAGGAAAAATAGATATGCTACCTTTTACTTACTCGAAGTCGGCTAGCGATCGTGTCCAAGTTTACAAATAAGGACATCCACAAAATTACAACACAGGACAAACGATCTTGTCATCTTATCAGTGTTGATATTTTATATCAATCTTACTAATATTATAAATAAGAAAGTTTAGATGGATGGATGGATGGATGGATGGATGGATGTTTGTTAGAGTTTGTAGCCTAAATGGCTGAACGGATCTGAATGAAATTTGGCATAGATGTAGAGGATAGTCTGGAAGAACACATAGGCTACTTTCTTTTGTTTTCATTAATACCACGCGGACGGAGTCGCGGGCGGAAGCTAGTATTTAATAAACACATCCATGTTTGTAGTTATTAGCAAATGTTACAAGTTTGGACACTTTAATTATTTGCAAGTTCAGTCTCTTTGAAATGTCAAATGCTACATAACTTTAGCTGTTCTACACATATTATTTATTAGTTAGTTTTATATAATATAGTATTTCATTAACAGTGTCGTATATCTTGTACCGATGACCGCTGAGTCATGAACGAGATACGTCTATATTAGTTGTTTACTTGTTTATTGTACACGTCGTGATAGACTTCAAGGCTAGGTATTATCGTTTTCTAGGCATAAAATTATTTTCCGTTAAGATACGAAATATCTGTTTAAAATGTATTGCATACTTGACTGGCTTTCTTGCTTTTGTAGCCTAATGATAAAGGAAAAATACAGAGAATATATCCGAAGATAACATTCTCTATAACTAAAACATGATAATAATCTAGATATATTCAGTTAAGATTTATCTAGACTTGAAAAGATAAACATATTGTAACAAAAGAAATGACACGAGATTGTAAACTACGAAAAAACGATATACTTTCTTCTGAGTCTCTCTACTAAATTAAATTTGAACTTTTAAAATGAAAACACAAATGAATTCTGTAACTTGACATTAGATTTTAGACTAAGTATTGAAGGACTTAAGTTTTATGAGGATTCATGGTTTGCTAGCGTAAGTCTGCGCCAGTTCCTACCAACACCTAAGTATCGTTACAAGCGTCATTGCAAGCCATATTTGAACTATCTTAGTTCAGCCTTACCAGTCTCCTCATATAGTTTTCTGAACTTGTCCAGTTCTGGGTCGTTTTTGACCTCGTCCGGTAGAGTGAGCCACAGCTGCAGCGAGTGCGGCGACACCTCACTGCACGACACCAGCGAGTACGTGCTGCGGTTCAGTTCGCGCTCCGCCTCCTTGCCGCCCCCACCCCCACCCCGCAGCACTCGCCAAAGTCGCTCCATCGTCTGGCAGCCTCAAAGCTTATGTTATATCTAGTAATCACATAAAGATCTTGAGCAACTTACAATACGGTACATTACTTCTCGGATATTTACTTAGCTGACGGAAGACATTATTAATTATAATATAACTTCATATGTCTATGCCTCTATGCACATCGGTTACGGGTGTTCTTGATTCCACCCTTCTTGAGTATTTCATCAATCTAGACAGGATATTATTAAAAAAAAACCCGTAATTATCCATGTTCCTTTAAATATATTCTGTATGTTTAATTCAATATTTTTTTCAATCCCACGCTGTGAGCAACTTATTTGCATATAGCGAATGACAAGACATTTTAGCGCAGCGATATAAGTAAATAAAATAATACCTATATATGTCGAACATGGAAAATTTATGAAAAATCAAAGCTTACCTAACAGAGGTGTTGAGGGTAACAATGGTGGTCGAGCACTAGTTTGTGTCAGAAGTCTGCAAGGCTTTTACATTGGCCACATACTGTACCTATTCGTGACAGGATTGAACTGGATTCAACATGTGCCATTTGTCGCGGCTACCGTGCCGTAATTATGATGACAAAATGTAGACCACGTGTTGCATTGTGTTGTACAAGGTTTTAGCTTGTCGCTTCCGCGTGAACGTGGGGAATAAGGAATTATCATAGTCGCCCTACCAATACATTATAGGCGTAGCGTCATAGGGGTTCATACACAGATATAATTGCATCCGGCTCGAAGGACCATGCAATTATTCGGGTGATTTAAGTTGGAGAAATGAATAAAAGAGATTTTTGGAACGGAGGATGTGTTTATTTTCAAGTTCAAGATGTATAGGCCGAAAAGACGACTCCCGCCGACAATTTATTCCGCGCTACGCGATACTCGCGACGTAAGTATTCACTGTTAGTTTTAAAGATTTACTTTTCCTTGTGTAGAAGAAGCCTACGCCTCATCTTTAATCATTCATGTTTTTTGATGAAGATTATCTTTTTAAACGATTCATTTATAGTTACTGGCTGTAAGATAATTAATTTAATATCTTAATAATATTATAAATCTCCTAAATGACGTAATAATAAAGAGTAATAAAAATTAATTGTTTGGAAAAAATAAACGCAAGATAAGTGTTCGTCTTTTATTGTAATAACGCATTGTTAAGATAAATAATAAGATTAATGATAAAAAGATGTCTGTTTCTAAGAGAAATGTGTCTTTGTTTTATAACTTGACGATAGTTCAGTAGGGCCACCAACTTACGATATGACATAAAAACTTGCCTAGCTTTGTTCCTGCAGACGAGCATAAAATAATATAAAAAATGCGGATTAAGACAGGCAGCCCTATTAAAGCCAGCTGAAGTTAGCGAAGGTCAGTAGTTTCAAGCGATAATTCACTCGAATACAGTTTATTCTCGCTTATATATAAATACTAATTCTATTTTTAATTGGAATAATAATGATTAAAAATATAGGTACTTAGTATTCGAACCCACGACCTTAATTCTGATGACCATTCAAAATATTTATAGAAGACCCTGAGTCATGTTACTATGGTAACAAAATAAAGTTTCATTTGTCGAACCTTTTCGCGCCAAGAATCGACGATAAATAAACATCATGTCATATTATCATGCAAACGCTTGGCAAAGTGGCAATGACAACTGAGTCCAGTGTAAATGCAATGAAACAAATGTTTATATTTACCAACAAAACTAAATTTTCCTTGACATTTTTCTTGTAGTCAGTAACAATTGTTATTTACATTTTTATTATTAGTTCGTTATAAAATTTTTAGTCCAATTCACACGTTAACGTATTTATTTATAAAACATTTAAAATAAACCCTGAGACAAACACTGCACGTTAAACAGCGCGCTAAAGTGGCGACTGTCATAGATAATAAAATGCAGAACCTTGCAAACGCAGCAGGTGTTGCCACGTTGTTATTTAAATAAATATATTCTACCAAAAATAAACGACAAAATGAAGCTCACATTTAGTAAAAATTTGCAAGTCTTCGCTCTTTTGTCACCTTCGATATCGATTGAGGGATGCATATACAGTTAATTTTGAATAATTTTTACTCTTATAAACATAACGCAAATTTGCCTACAGTATACGTATTATTATGATTGAATACAATTCGCAGAGATATCTTTTGGATATAAATTTTCATGACAAGTGGATACAAAACTTTTAAGGAAAAAACAGGATGTTATGGTTCGATGAATTTACGTTTTCATGTAATGCGATAAAAAATTGACATTTTAGAGTTATTACTAACTACAGTAATAAATTTCCAAACAATGTACCGAGTTACTTTATTATTTAATTATGTTGTCAAATTTTTTTCTTCTGTAAGTTGTAAATTTTAAATATTGCATTTTGTTCTTGTATTTGGGTTTTGTATGAAATTGGTATTCGGTGCTATGAGTGTACTTAATCTTATAAAGGTTTTTCATAGAAACAATAATAAACTTCAACTATTTTATTATAATTAAATACTTAACAGACAATAATTTGAGACATACTTAAATACACACTGACTTAAATAATAATCTTAAGGATAAAATAATAAATTCAACAGATTGAGTCAATTTAAGAATGAACAAAAAAGTAAAAAGAGAAATTCCTGATATTTTTGGAATGTAAAATTTAAATTTTTACTTATACGTTACCAGAAATGGACATAAAATATTTATGCAACTTTAGGACTATGCGAATATTACTACCGTTATGTTATAAAATTTCGTGGAGCCGATATTTCATTTTTGCTCTGTTACATATCACAACCAAATAAGGTACGCAAATTAAGTCTAAAAACTTCATGAAATATTTGATAATACTTACAATTGATTGAATCATTTTAAAACAATAACACAAACACGAAACTTTCGTAGAGTGTTGTAATTTAAAATATAATAGTTCAAGATGTCTGTTAAATTCTGATAGCTTTTTAAGGCGATCGTACAGTACATAGTACATATAGTATTTGTTACTAAGAACTTTAAAAGATTTCAAAGATAGAGTTGGCAAAATTAGATACTGCTGCAAAAATCTTTGGCAATGCAGTTGCGTACACAATATAGTAAGGTAAAAAAATAGAACCAAAAAATGGAGATATTGCAAACAAAAATGTATCAAAATCACTTTAAATTATCAGATATTAAAAGTGTGATAGCACATAATATTTACGTTAATATATTCTTTAGGTAAAATACATACAAGTTGCACCAAAAGTATATTTACTTATATTATAATCTAAGTAATCGCTTGCCCCTAACTATTTTGTTCAAATTATTCATTTATAACTATTATAATAAACAAACATATAATTATATAGAAATCAAAATAAAACATCTAAATCTTAAAAAAAAATTACTATAAAATACTGTTACTACGATCTCACTAAATTTATTAAAATAGAATAAAGAAACGGCAATTGCCTAAACATGTTAAAATAATTTGGTCAAAAACATTAACTACTAGGGCCTTCCATATATTGAAATCATTCTTCATAGTTCAATAATTTCTTCAAGAGTGACAGTACTTTCATATTTATTAACAGTTAGTTATAAGCAATTGCCGTTCCAACACGCACGTTGAAAACTAAAATGAAATAACACAAAATTATAAATAAAATTGTGAATGTAAAACAGTTTAAGGGAAAAAATGTAATCTAGAAATAAAAAGCTACCAAAAAAGTAGAACTGTTCAGAAAGTAGCAAGGACATTTTACTTGTCAACATTCATCACAACAAATGTTCAAATTTAAGTTCTATACTTTATATGAAAAAGTGAGTTTTAGAATTTTATATATTTAAGAAGTAATAAATATAATATTAAAATATTATTCGTTTTCTTATTCAAAAATTGTTAAAGTTTTCAACGTGCGTTTGTTAAGTACCAAAATAACAAAATTATCACAGTTTTCAACACATTTCTTATTTTGTACTTTAATATTTTATCAAATAGTATTACATACTAAGATACTTTAACCGTATACGATATAACAACGAATTAACATATAGAAATAAATATTAATAAGTAAATCATTAATTTAAAATATGACATAACCGTTCTTTAGCCATAACAGAACAGTTTCAAACTGTAGCAGACAAATGTTGACGATTGTTTTATACTACAACATAACCGTGGGTTTACACTGTCGAAACAATGTTACATAACATTTTGACTCACTTGTTCGATATAATTGAGAAGGCGGGATGTTTTGATATAAAAAATTCCGACAACGGAATTCACGTGTAAAAAATTAGAGTTCCGAAAAAGATTGTGTATTCCTAAACACATCAAAGGGTGAGGGTGGTCACTTCAGAAAATACAAATGTTACGCAGGATACTTAATTTATCTTGTTTGTAATGCTAGTGCCAGGTGAAGACGCAGTGGCAGAGGAGGAGGTAGAGCGAGGCGACGAAGAGGTGGCCGATCATGACGGGGAAGCCGACGCGGAAGAAGTGCAGGAAGGAGAAGCGGTAGCCGTGCTGCTCCGCCACGCCGGCGCACACCACGTTGGCGCTCGCGCCGATCAGAGTGCCGTTGCCTGCGACCAACACGGACCTTACGTCTTCCACACAGACCTCAACATCGCACGTACACAGAACATGTCTGACAATCTTACTTACCTCCCAAACAGGCTCCGAATGACAGGGCCCAAATCAAAGGTGCCATAGGCAGTCCCAACTGGGGGTTAGACCCCAGTGTGGTGACGACGCGCACCATCATCGTAGTCAGCGGGATGTTGTCGACAAACGCCGACGTCACCCCTGACACCTGGGTTGAGTAATTATTTTAATGGATTTCAAAAAGTCAAATCCATGAAAAATTCCAGCAAATAATTAACCTTACCCATAACATCAACAAAAGTGCTACAGCCAATCTGGCACTTTCATCCACTTTGAGAATAATTGATTCTGTGAGACTGCCGATAAATTCTATTAGACCTAGCTTCGATAACGCCTGCAAGAAAAATATACAAAGAACAATAAAGTAAACAATGAAGTGAATAATATTTAAAGAAAACGTTGAATTCTTCTAAATATAGCAAAGACTAATCACCTCCATCAAGACGAATAAGGAAGCGAAGAACAGCAGCGTGGACCACTCCACACGATGCAGTATCGGCTCCAAGTCCTCGCGGTCTGCCAGCGTCAGCAGCAGGATGGCGCCGAGCAGCGCCGTCCAGCCCAGGGACACGCGGTCTGGTAGGATAATACATCATTATAGTGAAGTCAATTGGTTAGACCATTCAAAATGATTTACAGAAACTAACGTGAACTGGCCAAGTGCGGGTTGGTTGACTTCACACATATCTTTGAATTTCTTCGCGGATATGTGCAGGTTGCATCACGATGTTTTCCTTCACCGTAAGAACGTCAGGTAAATTATGTACATATGAATTTTCGAAAAATTGAAAATCACATTGGTACATGGCGGCAGGATTCGAACCCAAGACCTGTAGATTACAAGTCAAGTGCTTAAACCACTGAGCCACCGACGCTCTTGACGCGTGGTTGACTATGGCCTAGTCACCCTAACTTTAGGGTAGGCTCCGAGCCCCTCGGTGGGGACGTATAGTGAGCTGATGATGATGATGAACGTGAACTGAAGGCGAGGCGGATACCCCCAATGTGGTCATTTATACAGGTAATAAAGAAAAACGATGACTTACTGAGCTCAGGTATGGAGTGCAGAAAGAAGACGATCACAACAAAACTGATCGCAATCGAGGCTTTGATGAGGAGCGCCTTGTCACGGATCTTGTACTGAAACATGACGTATTTCATTTTAATACATTTCTAGGTGAATTAGTAACTACAAAACATTTTATTACTAATCTATTAACAATTATTTTCTTTAATACACGAATAAATCTAAACCATCTTCTACCTTCTCTTTCAACTCCACTAGTGTACTCTGGAAAGTCTCCTTTGGGAACACCCTTTTGATGCTCTCCTTTTCCAGCGCGGTCAGCTTAAGGTTCAGCTTGGCGACCTTCCTCTCCAGCCTCTCCCGCACCACCTGCTGGTCCTGGCTCAAATGCGGCAGGGATTCGATCGCACGACGCCAGATCGATATCTGGTGACGAAGATCTAGAACACATTTAGAAAAGTTAATGCGCGTAGTATATAGTCCAAGTAAACAAATCAAATATCGAGATGAAGTTACCTTCATAGAGGTATAAATAAAAAGAGGATAATGACTAACCTTGTATATCCCTGGGCACGTTGAGCCGCAACTTGCTGGTGTCCCTGTAGATGTAGCGCAGCTGGAAGTACGTCTGCACACACACCAGCACTATGCCCAGCGTCATGTGCAGCGTGAAGTTCGTGAAGTTTATACCCTAGGAAAGTTAAAATTAAAATAAACATACCTTGATACAAACAATTTCTTAAATAAGAGACCTCTTTGTGTCGTTTTCTTAAATTTAAACATTAGCATTTGTAAATAAATTGGTCATAAAATGGTTTCACTTGCACAGTAGAAGATTAGACTTACAGATTGTACAACAGCTTTGTTGGAGGCGATGATTACGTTGGGGGGATCCCCGACGGGCGTGGCCGTGCCTCCGATGTTGCTGAACAGCACCATCGACATCAAGATAGGGATCGGGTCTAAGTTCATCACTTCACATAACCTGAAATTAGTATAAAAATCTCACTAAGTAAAAGTTATAAAGACTAAGTGGTATTCAATCCTTGTACTAAATTTGAACATGGATGAAGCTTACCTGATGGTGACTGGTGTCATAAGGAGGACGGTGGTGACGTTGTCGAGGAAAGTGGAAAGCAGGCCCGTGATGGCGCAGAGCAGCGATATCAACGGCCATAACTTGCCTCTCGTCACCTACATGTACAGCAAACGATAGATTAAAGCTTAAATAAAATAACGTTGAAGCACAAAATAACATAAAAGTTTATTACATATTCCACTAAATGTGAGCAGAAGTCTGAGTTAACATTTCCTTATAAAAACCCTGTAATTCCAAGATGATAACACATTCATTTAATCTTACTTCAAACGTGAACACAGCAAGGAAATCAAATATGCCGGTCTCAGCAGTGATGGCGACAAGCAGCATCATGCTGAAGAGCAGCAGCAGCGTCTCCACATCCAGCCAGGAGATCAGCTCTGGCACGGAGGGCCGCTCCCCCACCAGCGCCAGCACCGCCAGAGAGCTTGACGACACGATGATGGCCGCCATTGTGCGGTTTATTATCTAAAACAAAGAAACCTTCGTAAAATGTCACTAATACAGCGAATTAATTAAACGCTCAAAAATAAAGCTGATTTAAGCCGAGTTAATCGATTTTTCTTTAAAAACGTCAAAATTGTTTAGCTGACAGAACACATTATATCATCTTACTAATCTAACTAGTCTTACTAATATTATAAATGCGAAAGTTTAGATAGATGGATGTTTGTTAGCGTTTGTAGCCTAAACGGCTGAACGGATCTCCATGAAATTTGGCACAGGTTTAGAGCATAGTCTGGAAGAACACATAGGCTACTAACTTTTGTCTTTTTTTTAAATTCCATGCGGACGGAGTCGCGGGCGAAAGCTAGTTAGTAAATAATTGGTTAGTTTGATATTATCAGATAGTTGTTATATCTTTATTTGTGGAAAGTGATGGAAACCTCTAATAAACTCTGTAACTAATGTTTATATTCAAATTAAACAATGAGGACTAGATTATATTTTAATTTCGTTAGTAACATTCCGAAGTTTGATAGATTAAATCCGAAGGTTAACTTGTTAATGCGTATTAAATGTTTACAAACAAACTGCATACTGGTGATATGTGATAAAAATTACGAAACTAAAACTGACAACAATGTTATAATGTTGGTATAACAATATTATGAGGAGATTGATTACATTTTTGTAGTTTTATCGCAATGTATTTAGGTCATGATATGCAGAACAAACACAGCTGTGGACTCTCAGTGTAACTAAGTTTCGAGTGCAAAGGTCGTCATTTTATATTTACAAGTATAATAAAAGAATGCAATTCTCGTTGTGATTTTTAAACAGGATTTATTTAACATTGATGTCAGTTTTCCATAAACATTCGGTAAAGAAATTTCTTTTGAAATGTACTTTGAATATTGGTTTCACTTCGAATTTATCGATTGTTTTTATATTTGTATGAAGCTTGTGTGTGTTAGGAAACTATCGAATTTAATAACTGACAAAAATTTAGAAACTTTCTTGCAGTAATGAACCCGAGAAACAAACCCCAAAGCCCTTTCGTCATCCTACAGAGTAATCAAACTAAACATTTAAACATAAAATAAACAAACATACATTTCTCCTGACACTATCAAAACGGAAACAAAACATAAACACACATAACTCATGATAACAGAAGAATAACAAAATATTTTACCCTTGTAAAATATGCATTCAAACAACAATCTTATTTAAATAGAAACAGACTTGACAATAAAACAAAACTAGAATGGTCTAAATTTTGTTTTATGTATCATAACTTAGCTAATATTAAAATACGAAAGTTAAGATGGATAGATCTTCAAAACGGCTTCACCGATATCGCTAAAACATGGCATAGATGTAGAACATAGTTTGGAAGAACACATAGGTAACACATTGTTTTTTTTAATTCCGCGTCGACGTTATTGCGATCTGTTTTGTCATACAACTAACCTCAAATATGATGAGCACGTACAAACTGCAGAGCAGCAGACAGGCGTAGGTGACCCCACTGGCGACATCTATCGGATTTACCGTGTAGCTAACAGTCAGAGGTATCGTTTGCTTAGACGTGGTCTGCATTCGTATAGTGTGAACGGACGTGGAATTAGAACTTGGAGTATTCTTTCCTAACACAATTGTTGATGTACGACGCTCCCCTTGACTGAAGTCTAGATATCTATCTTCTTGTAGTAAAACAGACCATTTGTCGGATGCCTGAAATCAATGGATACATATACTATTGAAAACTACGTTTCGATGACTGCTTTTTGGTTAATATTAACAATCTCTTTATAGGTAATTCGTTGTACTTGTTACTCTACTTTTTTTTTACAGTCTGTCTTCTTTGGTAAATATTTAGTAAATATACATAAAGGTATAGAATCAAGTTACCGTTACTTCTTTATTCTTTGACATAGCAGGAGGCCCATCACTCGCCGTCCATCTCTCTAGCCACACAGTCATCTTCTCCGCGGTCTCAAGTTCAGTAGAGTTCAAATGTTTCTCCATGTGCTCCGGTAGAAATGGACCAGATAATTTTACCAGCACCGATAGATTCTCCATATCAGATGCGTTGAAAAAATAATCTAAAACAAAAGAACGCTTATGTTCATTTTTTTCATACGGTTCCTTCGAAACGAGGACTTATGCATTTTCTTTCGTGGTTGAAATTTTACCTGTCATGTTCTTAAGACCACTAAAGAAGTTATCTAAATCTGCAATTCTTTGATAACGAAGTAGAACGCTAGTTAAGACTAAAAGTGCATTAAGTTCAAATAACTAACGTAATGTGCACAATTAAATACATCGATAACATACATATACCAACGTTAATTTATTTCCAATTGAACAAAACATAAAAGTAAAAGATTCCATTCTTAAATTGAATAAAGAATAACAAGTCAATACTTGTTAACTTGATGCATTAACAGTTAACATGCAGAATGAAAGACCCATTCATGCATTATTCACATCATAGTAGCTATTATACAAAACCGGTTGTGTTCAGTATTTAGCTGTGTGCGAATTGTCCACAGCACGTGTAAAATTAAATCATAAATAAATGACCGAGTTATGGAAACTATAGTATCTTTGATCGAAAAATTTGCTAACACTTTGTGTGCATAACACTGTACTAACGGAAAACTTTGCTGAACTGCATTTGAAATTGTACAATAACAGACCTTTAAGCAACAGTGAAATTGCAATAAACAACTTTTTCTATAATCTCACCTTTGATTTCTCCAGGACCTACAAATGTGTTTCTTTTGATTTCCTCTTTTTCATTGTACAGCATGAACACAATTGTGAAGAAGATCCAGGCGGCGATTAGCAGCATCATCTTCACGTAGTGCCTTGCCTTGGACATCTAGAAGGGGAGGGGACACTTTGAATTTCAACAACATCGTAGATAGTGCCTTCTGTTAGCTTATTGCTATCAGAAATGGGACTCCGTTAGTACATCAGTATGACCTCCAATAGTCCTAAATAGCTCATCTGATTTTCATACAAAGGATTCCAAACTTGTATCCTTCTAAGTCCTTAATTGGCTGTTATTTGAAATTTAAAACATCACAAAATGTGCTACTTGAAATCTAAACATATTTGTGATTGTACTCATGCCCTTCTAAGGTACAAGGCGACCTTGACGCAGGTAGTGTGACCCTTTGGCTAATGACCCTATTGCATGATCAGTTCAGATTAGTGCTGAGATTGTCCACAGTAAAACACATATCAAGGCCGATAATCTTATACAAACAAAAATAATCTCTATTATCAAATAGTAGACTACATTGTTCTACTTCGCCTTTTAGTGTGTTTTAGCGGGAAAATATTGTAAAGTAAAGCTCTTGGTACTTATCGATACTTTTAGAGACAAATAAACATGAGGTGAAAATTCGTGTACTTTTGCTACCAAATAAAAAGACGACCTTACCTTCGTTGGTTGCTTTCGTGTTTGTGCCTTCTCCTCCCTAAAAACAGGAATGAATATTAGTGTTGGCAAAGTAAGCTTGCAGGAATTAGAGGAATTTTCCATTTGAATCTAGTTGAGGGAAATTATTTTTCTCTTCGTTTCCATTCAAAAAGAGTGGTCACTTTCCAAAATAAATGGTCACTAAAAATTCCTTTTTCGATAAAGTTATCAAATAAAGAGATTGTTACTTACTTTTCGTCATGTTTGCCGAAATTATTAGCTTTTTCAGGGTCTTTAATATTAACACCAACATCATTGGCTGATAGAGTTTTGATATTGTTATTGTTGAGGTGCGGCGCGGACTTCACGAGGGGCAGACGCTTCGTCTCAGGCGCGGAGCCATTGGATGACTGGTTGGAAGACAACGGGATGTTCTCTAGGTTACCTGTGAAAAATAAAGAAAGTTAATATATATTCCGATATTCCAGTCTATAATCTATCTTTTTCTTTCTCAATCCCTTCTGTCGTTCAGATTCTAGTATTACAATTAAAAACTAGTCTATGAATTGCCTTGATCATGTTTTTAGAATGGTATTCTTTTAATATTTAAAGCGAAAACTACGCAAATCATTCGAAACAAATTTAACATTTCGCATTAATTAGAAAATAACTTTAAGTTTTTATATTACTTTGTTTCCTTGAAAAGTAAAACATAAATTAATTTTCGTTTTCCTTTAATATAAAAAACTGGTTCCATTTATTTTACGACGGCAATAAAACTCAAGAGCGAAATTACAGAAAAGTCACGAGATAGTAAAATTTACAATTTTAACAGTCACACAAACTTAACAAAGACCATTTACATACAAAGTATTGATCACAAAATTTCATATTTCTACGAATTGATCGTGTAAATTTAAAGCGTAGTAACGAATAAAGTTTAGATGGATGTTTGTTACTAACTATGTATCTCCAAAACCGCTTATCGGATCTCGTTAAAATCTATACCAACATATAACAATAATATTGGAGTGTCTGTTTGTAATATCAAAAGAAAAATTTCAGATTTCGGGAGGATGATGTATTTGCGTTGCTGATAACGAAGATCACATTTAAAAAGATTTTGTCTGTCTGATCGTAAGCCGCGTTTGTTCCGGGTAATATCCGAAACGGCTGGGCCGATTTCGACGGGACTTTTACTGGAGGGTAGCTGACATAGGATAGGCATATTATAGGCTACTTGTTTTAATTCCTCGCAGTCAAAATGGCGCAACGGGTTGTCCAAATTTGCGCTAACGAAATTTGCGAGCGATAGCTCATTTAGCACAAATGTAGAACATAATCTGGAAGAACACATTAGCTACATAGTATTTTTTAAATTCCGCGCGAACTAAGTCACGGATAAAAGATATCTTACTAATCCTACTTCTTACTGATCTTACTTATGTTATAAATGCGAAAGTTTAGATGGATGGATGGATGGATGGATGGATGGATGGATGGATGGATGGATGGATATATGGATACTTAATATTATAAATGCGAAAGTTTAGATGGATGGATGGATGGATGGATAGATGGATGTTTGTTGGAGTTTGTAGCCTGAACGGCTGAACAGATTTCGATGAAATTTGGCACAGACGTAGAGGATAGTCTGGAAGAACACATAGGCTACTCATTTTCGTTTTTTTTTTAATTCCACGCGGACGGAGTCGCAGGCGACAGCTGGTTTAAAATAAATTTCAAAACTATACATGAATCATATACAATTATAAACAGACCTACGTATATGTAATTTATTGTGTTAATATTATTCCTGATTACAACGTAATTACATCTTGACTGCTCGCTTTGAGATAGAACCAAACACGTGTATAGATATTTGCTTTATTAGGTACACTATACATTGTTTATGTATGTTAAAATTAAAAAGTTCCAAGGGTTTATAAGTTTATCCGATAAATATATTTTTATAATCTTACTAACATTATAAATGCGAAAGTTTAGATGGATGGATGGATGTTTGTTAGAGTTTGTAGCCTAAACGGCTGAATAGATTTTGATGACATTTGGTACAGATATAGATGATAGTCTGGAAGAACACATAGGCTAGTCACTTTTGGTTTTTTTAATTCCACACGGACAGAGTCGCAGGCGAAAACTAGTAAGCAATAAAGCTAAATATATAGTAAAAATTATAAATGCATTAATGTTTTTTTTTTTTTTTTTTATAACATAAGGTGGCAAACGAGCAAGTGGCCACCTGAAACCGCCAAAATGGCGAAGCGACCGCTGCCCATAGACATCCGCAATTGCAGATGCGTTGCCTACCCTTATACGACGGAGGAGGAGACGCACATAAAGAGGATATTCCCACTTCCTATGCATCTCCTCCACCGTCAAATCCACTTCCTCTTCCCAACCTCTCCTTATAAGAAAAGGGTGGTAAAGAGAAAGGGACTTAAATTAGGCCTCCGGCACCACACTCATCAGACGAAACACGGAATTGCTTCCATTTCACGCCTGTCTTCTGTGTGGTCGTGGTATTACACCGGGCGTGCCGGCCCATTCGTGCTTAGATGTTAAAGCGGGCACTACCACTGTCAAAATGTTATACTAAAAAACATTATATTTTGGTATCATACTTAAAACTGCTATTATTATAGTATCATTAGTAATACATCGTTATAAACAAATTAATCAATTATATTTATTTATATTACAAGTAGATTTTGTATAATCTACTTGAAAAAATTGCTTTATATTTACAGGTTATTACCTTTTTTACAGCACAAAGTATCAAATTTAATCGATACTTCACAGATGGCTTTAATGACACTGTAAGAGAAAACTGGAAACGTTCTTATTGGTTGCTTAGAAAATCTCCGTGAGAAAGCTCACATTACTGTATATTCGATAGGTATTTGATGGATTTATGCAAAAATAAACACGTCAGAAAAAACATCTGTTCACCAAGATCAAAGTTTTGAGGTAACAAAACAAAAAACAGGCCACTTGAAAACCACTTATAAAATCGTTTTCGTTCGGAAATACCGAAACACTTAACACCAATTACTCTTTTTATCCTTCTTCCATAAAATTCATACAATCCTAAAAAGGTTTCATTATCACATTGATTAACAAACATCCATACATAGTTTTTTGGTATTGTCAAATATTTTGACTTACGCACTTACTGCGTAATTAAATAAACCGAACATGATAATAAACCATACAAATGTACTAACAAAGGAATACCCATTGCCAAAACATACGTGGGCGACTAAAATACTGCACAAATAACACCCAGAAAGGGCTCCGGCCTTGACATTTCAAGGTTTTACTTACAACTTTAAGGCTCTCAGCATAAATATGCCCAGTACCGGGCTTAGTCCTTATATGAGGTTGGGTAATTCGATAACTTCGACGCCTCTTTTAGTCCAGTTTCTAATGCCAGTATAGATGCACAAGCGAACTGCCTAAGGGACAGCGTATGTAGCTATTAAATTATGTAAATACTAGCTTTCGCCCGCGACTTCGTCCGCGTGGAATTTGAAAAAACAAAAGTGAATAGCCTATGTGTTCTTCCAGACTATCCTCTACATTTATACCAAATTTTATCGAGATCCGCTCAGCCGTTTTAGCTACAAACTCTAACAAACATCCATCCCTCAATCCATCCATCCATCTAAACTTTCACGTTTATAATATTAGTAAGAAGTAAGAATGAGCGTGGGTTTGTACATCCTTTCCCTTATCGCCTACGGTTTAAACGACAGGACAGATTTTGAAGTGTAAAGTATTGTAAGTTATAGATAAATTTAGGTTATCTCAAAACATATCTATTGATCGGGTTTAACTAGATGTAGTTTGTGCATATTTAGGCATAGTATTTTATGGTATGTCCGAAAATCTCAGCTCTACGATGTTTAAGTGGTCGGTGTAAAACTTATCGCGATTTCGTCTGTATATATTTGTGTGGAAAAACACAGCGTCCAAATACGGAATTGCCAAAGTAAAAACAAAGTAACTTCAATAGTATTTATTCTACAAGACCTTGTCTTATGAAGGTAAAAATATATCTGAATGAGTTTGACTTGAACAAACAAATGTTAACTAGTTACAGCTTAAGCGATTTCAAATCGTAAGATATCATATGATTTATATTCCTTCAAAGACACATAGGCTTAAGTTAATCGGGATTGTCGATTTTTCTATCGATTAACAACTAATTTTCTATGATATAATAGGACAATCTTGTAACAAAACTAAAGTTTAGTAAAATATCCATGTTCGTTGAAAAAAAAACATTTTTACGAGTTGGTAAACAAAACAAAGCTCCAAGAAACCTTGGACATTACGAAATTTCAAATCAGACGCACATGACACACGAAGCATCCATAAGAGACTTGGTATTTTTCATTTTTGACACGATTCCAAGTGGCATGGCGGACTGGCAGACGAGCCGATGCTATTTTAAACCGGTTCGATCCGGTTCCACGCAATGGCCGACGTCCCGGCTGCATCCGTAGACGTTTTTATATTTTCAGTTTCTTTTTCATTTGAAAGTTTCTCGAATCTTCCATACCTAGTTCATCATCATCAGAGAAACAATAGGCAATGTTGATAAACTTTAATTGAATCTAATTTAACATGTTATTATAACGTCAAATCTTAATCTAATTAAAGACAAAATCATTTATTCATTGTTTTAAAATAATCCGTACTTATCCTGAGTTTTTATGTACACCCTATTTACTATTATATTTGAGATTTTGGAATGGTGTTAACAAAAAATATTCGCTGACAATACGTACTAATATTAGAATGCCTTTTTATTGCGTTTTGTTGTTCGTAAACATGTTTATGATGCAAGGTCGGCGAAGCGAAATAAAAAATGTAAACAAAGTCTCATGGGTACTTTTTATGCACCAGGCAAATTTTATTGTAGCCGGATTGACAGATTGTGAAGACCGACCGATATGTCATTCGATATATATATTTCCCCGTAGTATTATAAAGTAATCAGAATTAATATTATATTTATTTAAATTACGAATGCGAAAGTTTAACAGATGTTTGTTAGAGTTTTGTGAGCAACAGCATATATGTACATGATATATGGCCACGCTTAGACCACGCAGCCGTTGTATAACACGGGTATAGGTGAAATGAGGAAATCTTAATAACAAAATTAAATCATTAACATTATTTATGAGGGCAAGGGACACTTACTGTTGATAAGATAATGTTTGACATTAAAAAGCTATTATTATTTTATTGATCGGATTAACGACGTAACGGCCTAGACCTGAATGACATCGTACACTCGCCGGCAAATATCTTGAAAACTAAACAACTACTTGGAAAGGAAATTATATTTCATTTTTAGTAATTTAAACTGTTTGTATGTCATTTGTTTTCTGATAAATCTTTATACCTTTGGTTCATATGTGTATTTGTATGATTATAATATTCAATTATTAAATAACGTAGCTTAGATCTTTTATATTTAATTTTTTCACATTGTCTTTTTGTTTCGCATTTCAAAGGATCACAAAGAAAGAAAATGTGGATTGATTTCTAAGTTCGCGTATTTAACATATGAACCACAATACGCAAAATATGGAAAGAAAATATCAGGAATGTCTATAATTATTTTTATTACTTGATTCGACTACTTAAATGTCTTTGTTCTTTTTGAGCGAATGACGATAAAACTTTTTTAATTTAGCTTTTGTACTATTTAAAATGTATATGAAACTTACCGAATTCCTTTTCGTATCGTTGTCTGAAGGGTGCCAGCTCAGGGTCATATTTGATCTTCTTAGGTAAGCCGAGCCACAGCTGAATGGCCTCCGCAGTCAGCTCGCCGCAGGACACCAGCGAGTACTGGCTGCGGTTCAGCTCCTGGCTGCTCGGCCTGGACACGCCACTCCACTTCTTTACACTCTTCACAAATTTAGACATCTTCATACACTTATCATAATAGTTTTATTGTGCAAACACTGGAAATTTGATAATATTTGAAATTACCAGATGTGATGTCTACTGTCAATGTGATTGCTAGACTTTTTTAGTGAATTATTTAGGATAATAGTATTTAAGCTTACAGCCAAAATTGTAAAATAAAAATTATTTGTAAGGCTGCAAAACTACTGGGCCGAATTTAGTCAAACTTTTATCATTACAACGTTTAATTCTAATAATAGAGTGAAAGAGAAAAGCTCTTTACGTACTCAATGTACGTTTAAACGATTTCTACAATAGTTACTCTTAATTAATATAATTGTCTTCAAAAGTATTTTGTAGCGTATTACTAGAAGCCTCTATTGGCGGTTAAAGTAAGCATAGATTTCTATACTGTAGGTATTTAGTATACAGCGATTTTCTTAAACTAGTTGCCGGCGCGAGGTAAGACTGCAATAAAATGTACCTCTCTGCGCCTTGAATTGAGGACTTATAGCATGGCTATGAACTCAACGAGAAGAGAGACATTTAAACCACTAAAATAATTAATAGTAAATAAAAAATATACTAATGTTTTTTAAATTAACTATCTTTAAAGGCAATAAAATGCGTCGAAAGATTTTAAATATGTACAAAAACTAGCAATACCCTTTAACTCTTTAGCATATTCGTATGCGTTTAGAATAGAGATTATCCCGTTCTATTAATAAAATATGGAGACTATAGTACATGGTACGATGCAACGAGTACGTATACTATTGCACATTTGCGGTCTCGCAAAGGCTAACGCCCCTAAGCATTCCCAATGCATCTTGTGTGCAAATGTACACATTTTATTCATACAGCTGCCTGCAGTCTACAGCTATTTATAACGATTGGTTACACAGATTTTACCTTGTTTTATAAATCGCACGTTAAAGCGTGAATATTCGGCTGATTTACTCCATTTTGTCAAATAAATGGCGTTTTATTGGTCATTTTTGTAAGACATTTAAAAATAGGTATATTCTTGAATCGTATTTAATACGCACATCAAATTAATGCTAAATCTGATAAAATAGATTACGAAATAAAATGATAATCGGATTATTTTGGTGAATGACTTATCAATTTCAAATATGTTCTAAAATCTTTTAGATATGAAAGATTACATTATGACATCAGTAGAAATATTAACTCGCTTTATACTATTGTAGCTGTTCCCGTGCGATTTCATCAAAATGATATGACATGACAAACCATGACAACCTTGCTTCCTTGATGTTGGCAGCAACTTATGGTCTCTTTCCCACATAAAGGTTTTTGTCCAAAATATTTACCCGCTAAGTTTAATGGCGTGAAAATATATAGCCTAAAGCGAGACGTAAGTGTAAGGCTTTTTATTAAAAAAAAGAATTATTCAAAAATATGCTATGATTGCTGACATCTTAGGCAACAAGAATTGTGTGTTTACGCTTTATTATTTTAGTATAGAAGTATAGATTAATATTTTATTTATATAATTAAGTATCCAGACGCCGCGTAACCGCACGTTAGTTGTATAATTTTCAATGTTATCTTTCATTTAGTCATACAGAACCGTGTCCATTCTAACCTATAAATGTTATTTAAAATATTTGACAGTAATTTATTCAAAATGTAATTAAATGGTAACATGAAAAGATTTTTATAAAATTAACAAAAACTTGAGTCCTGTTCGGTTATTGTCCTGCATTATACTTTTAAAAACCTATTTAACGTCTATGCTACTTTACGATCCAAAATAATCAGATACAAAGTTTATAAAATCTGTATTATAGATATAAATTGTGAGATTGTTTATTTAAAAATTCCTCATTATTGTTTGTTATCAATAAAACCTCTTCAGATTAACCACAGCTCCACATTCCGATGCTTATTGTAATATAAATACAGCCACATTACCGCGCGCCCACAAACATTAATTCATACATTTTCATTCAAACTGACATCAAACCGCAAGCTATTGTCTAGAGTAAACAAGTCGTAATTATCTCGTAAAATTATAATAAAATGTATACGTAACTCTCAACTACCTACAAGATGTATACATTTAGACTAACAATACTAATGTAACAAAGATTGACTTGATAGTGGTAAAGCCCGCGTTAATATCTTAGCACTGCAGGGCCGGCACGCCCAGTGCAATACCACGACCACACAGAAGACAAGCGTCAAGCGAAGAAAGAGGCAGTTGATTTGGCGCAGTGAAGGATGTATAGATGGAGAAAACATCATCTTTCTATGCGTCCAATCCTCTGTTTATTTAATGGTAGGAAACTTCTACAAATGCTGTTGTCTATAGGCAGCGGTCACTTTGCTATTTTGACGAATTCCAGTGGCCGCTTGCTCGTTTGTCACCTTAATTTATTAAAAACTATGCGCTAATCTTAATGGCCGTCTTATTTGAGACGTTACATTGTTTATTTAATTTCGGCGTTGGATAAAGGCCGACTTTCTTCCTAGTATTAATTTGTTTACTGTCTACACCTAAAACGTAACTAAGATAAGCACTAAGTAGCCACAAAGAATGTTTACTGACATCAGAATCTAATAACAAACGAATTGCACTTTAGTCACGTTCGTAAACACAAAAAACGTCCATAAATACATCCACCGCTATTATTTGTTTAACAAATACAAAGAAATCTATTGTTGTGGTTGACTCCATACAAGTGACTTACTGTATCTTCAAGGTTGATTTATACAAAACTGGTATAGTATTTATTTAAATGTAAACTTGCACTGTGCTCTATTAAGTTATTGTCCATGACAAAGTTACACGACTAAAAAGAATACTTCTTTTAAATAAGCGAAACCAAAATAAATCAATAGATAATAAGAGCGGGCGCTCATTTTGACTAACCCATCGGACATCTGTTGTGCGATTGTCGATTGTTTCGCAGCCAATTCAACTGTTCAGTTGCACAACTAAAAATCGAGTAATGCTACCTCCATATATGCTCATAGGAAAAGGAGACTAAACAGTTGTGCTATAGTTTAATCAAAGGTGTGCACACACTCTTAATGACATTATCAGACAGTGACATGTGTAAATATAATTTCTTATTTCTTAAATTCGATTTACATTAAGATACAGGCTAGGCAGGTCAGGAAGACGCTCATACCATAATTAAGTCAAACAGATTCTAATTAATTATTTATTTCTGAGATACGTACATATATAGTTATCTAAATTTTAAATTTTCTTTATATTGATCTGCCATTCACCCGCGGGTAGATAATGCCGGTAACACACAAGCGCGAAAGCGATACGTAACCGAAGCGAACCAAACGTTAAAAAATTGAATAAAAACGACAAGATTTAGAACGTTTAATAGACAGTTTCTTTACGCGAGATTTCATTTATTTTGACACTAGCTTTTACCCGGGACTCCTACCGCGTGAAATTAAATAAAAAACAGAAGCAAATCGCCTATGTGTTCTTCCGGACTATCCTCTACGACTATGCGAAATTTCATACAAATCCATTCAGCAGTTTCATCCATACATCTTAACTTTCGATTAATACTCGTAGTTATTATGATTATGTGGTTTCCTTTACTTTGTGTGTGTTAGTACAGGGGTTATGTTTAACTCCGCTTTTACGATTTTCTACGCACGTAGGAATCAAAGCTCAATCATAGATGCACCCATCATAAGATGACATAATACTACGACGCGTGTATTATACAATTCTGTTTTAGAATGTTCTAAAGACTTCCTTAAGCATTATAAGTATATCGGCTATTATAAAATTATACAGCGGAATAAATCGACTTCATTTGATAAATAATGAGTTACAAGAATGATATTAATTTATTCTTAAATAGTAACAATTCAAGCTATATTTTATGAACCTGAGTGATAGTTCCATTCATCATAATTAATCTATAAGAATAATTTAAATACCCCAATAACACTCGCCTTGAAGATGGACCTCTGATGGGTCCGAAACTTGCCGACACTGGGAAAATAGGCGTGAGTAAGAACCCTTAAATACTTAGTTGTAAAATTTCAGTATACGGAAAGCGAATTTTAGAACGCTGTAACCGCAAGTTACTCAGATAATACAAATAAACTCTAGAATACGTTAGGATACATCCATATAAGGCCTATATTAAAAAAATGTAGTTATTTTTCTGCTTTACTTTGTCATTAAATTACAAATTAAAAAAACATAGTTGGTACCAAATTTGTAGAATCGCGAAATAAGTACTCAACCTACAGAATATTCGTTCTTTGTTTATTGTTTTTATATAACTATTGTGGACGTAAACAAATTAACTTAATCAAGCGGACTAAAGTATTTCAAATTAATTAAAATGCCGGCTAACTGTCGTGTGTTTAATCACTATTTAATGACGGCATTAAAACTAATTCCAATGATGTTTTAATGATTTACTTGTATAAAGTGCAATTAATCTGGATAAAATATAAACAGAAATAAGAACAAAGTAAATCGCCTCATAAAGGAATTACGTCTACCAAATTAAATAACAAAACAGTTTTAATTGTAAGAATATTGATTATTCTCTTGTACATTTCGCATTCTTAAATATACTACGAAATAATACGCCACAGTAAGAGAAGAGAACACGATATGTCGTTCAGCACTGCAACTCACTTTTACAATATAAATTTTCCATCAATATTTATTAAGTCACATCCATCTACTTAATTAAATGCTTCCTACGAAACAGTTTTTAACTCCAAGCCGATCAACATGAAGTAAGTTCAAATCTATTATTACATTCTGTAGTAAACGCCCTCTTAAGACAGATAAATCGAGCATAGGAAATCATTTTTAACAAAATTACTAAAGATTCTAATAATTAAAAATCTAATTCATCTACCATCCAGCAATCACAAGACAATATTGGCAATCTCCCACAAAACGCTACGATTTCTCAATTTTTATATTTATATTTACAAACTGAAAAAGGGAACGTCATTGACCCATTATTTCACAACACGAAAAAAAAATACCACACGTCACTAGTTCCGATTTTTCGCGCGCTTTATGACGTTTTAACTTTTTTTGACGTTTATTTCCCGGCACACGTTCGGAAAGGCGCGCGCGATGCGTCCAACTGGCTGCGTTTGTAAACAGAAAAGCGATTTTATCAGCGGCCTCGTTATCAACAGATGTTTACTTTACAATTAGAAATGTTTAATCGGATAAAATTCGAAGCACATTCTTATGAAATATACAGATTAATTATATTTCTAGTCATTAACAACTCATTAACTTAACCAGTATTTCTGAATTTTTTTTTTAATGTTATTGTTTTATAACCTACAATTTAAACAATAGTAATTAATATTAGTAAAATTAAAGTATTTAATGTAATAGAGATTATATTTAACCTTTAAATAGATTTTTCAAGTAATATTTTCCAATCTTAACTTACAATAACCAAAAATAATAGCTTTGTTGAAACAAAGACAGCGGAAGCGGACTGTATTAATGAACATTTATGATGTTGATGAAACCATTTTAGTTGTAGCATCTTAAACGGACTGTATATACAGTGGCCATAAATCAGGATCATTACAGACTGGTCTTGAAGTCTAACGTGTAATAATGTTACACTATGTCAGTTGTTATAGTTTCTAGCAGTCACATCTGCTGTTCGTTTTATAGCAATATACATAACAAGACACATCTGTTTGTGTGTACTGTATTCTTAACATATTAAACATACAAGTACACATGCAATAGTTTATATACTTTCATATAAAAGAATGAATAAAATCAAAATGTTATGTAAAGAAAAGAGTCATGTAATCGTTTTAAACATTTGTGAGGGTCTAACAATTCGCTTCAATTTGACAGATGTCAAAATTTTAATGGAATTTGTAATTTAACCTCGGCCTTATCGTTTAAGACGTTGCCACATATTTAAATATCGTTTCATTAATCGCCCCTAAAAAGTAATCCGCCCGTAAAGATAATACGCATTTTCTCCTGTCTGAATGTCTCCACAAAGTTGCATCTCCAACAAATAGAAAATTTCTAGACACACTGGCATGTTCTGGCGAATACGTTTATTGGCATCTTTAGTCTGCAAATAGATTTTGTATTCAGTTGTTCAAACGCCGTTTAATGTACAAGCCAATTAAATATTATATTTGTACTGAGAAAGACGTTATGTACTTCTTTAATTTAAATCGAATGAAATACATAATGTGCTACCGTCTGTTACCGTTTCTACCAGAACGGTAGAACACATCTGAATTTTTGTAACTGATGTAATTTTCAATATGACATAACAGAGGCTAACTTGTTCTTTTCTTTACTTATAAAATAAAGAGGAAAACTTTGTTTTTTTTTTTACTGTAACAAAAATTCTTTCACCATTAAAAAGCTTATTATTTTATTTTTACGCGCACGGAGTCGCGGGTGAATGCTAGTATTTCATAAAAGTACTCGTGGACGAGAGCAATTTACAAATGAATCTTTATACTAATAATATTTTGCGATAAATAAGTAATAAATGGCTTCATTAGTATTCCGTAAATTGCAGTTAACAACGTCGATATTATAATTTATAAATGTATGTGACAACAGTGATAATGGATTGCTTATCACAATTAACTGATAGTGTATCACGTTGGCTCGTGTGTGCTGGCTACATATTACGCTACTGCTGATCCCCGCGTCGCAATGAAAGTCGCAATCAAAACACGCCATATTTCAAGCCCATAATCCAGTGTGATGGACAGAGACAACGGAATTCCGTTTGACGTCCCCCTTTTTTTATAATAACTAAAACTCTACAAACAGCGAATACAGTTTAAAAAAAGTCTTATAAACATTAAAAAGCTCTGCTATGCAAAGTATCTTTTTTTTAACAAAAATGGCTTTAACGCCATTTCCTAACAGGGCTTCACTACTTACTAAGACAAGTCCTAAATAATAAAATTTTGTAATAACTAATATTACAAATACGAAAGTTTAAATAAATCGATAGATGTATGAGTGTTACAGCGTAAACGTCTGAACTGTTCTCAATCGGCATAGATGTAGAACATACTGGCTACTATTTTTTTTTTAATTCCGCTCGGACAATATTGTGAAATCATGTATTAGTATAAATGCCTGTAGTTATATTGATAATTATTATTACAGCTATAACGTTCTTTGTTTCTCTTTTCAGGACAGGAGTGATTTTATTTGAAATCTTTAATATTTGCTTTGCGAAATGAAACGTAATCGTGTCTATGGTGTACCGTGTCATAGATAGAGTGGCGCGTGTAGCTGCAGTAACAAACAATAGACAAACAATATTTAACAACGACTAGAAAAACATTGTCTGATAAGATAGCATGTGCCACTTTACTATACAGACAGCTTGTGTGACGTCAAATAATCATTAAACATGCAAAGTCCGAGAAAACTGTTAAAACACGATAGCTTGTATTTTTCCATATTTAAGGTCAACTGCTGCTATACTTATAATAGTACTTTATTATCTGTACTTTTACATAAAAATCAACAATCTTCATAAAACTTGTTTCAGGTGTTCCAAAGAAGCAAGATAATGTTGAAATAGAACTGTTTGGTACGTCAATAAGATCCTCTAATCTTGCAGGTGTCAATCACAAACATTTTTTAAAAAGTATTTGCGACAAATAATCGATAATGAAAATATTCTAATACAAAAAACGATAACGTAACGAATACTAACTACATTTCAAAATTTTCGTGCAAACTTCCTGTAAAGGTCACGATTTACCACGACAGATGTCACGACAAGGAACATTTTGCAGCAGAAAAGATGATTTGATAAAGAGAAAATTAATTTATGCTTAGTTACGTAATTTTTACGAACAAAATGTTTGCTGAAATTATTTTATCTTTATGTAAATAAACTAATGTTTTTGTTTCTGGCTTTATGATGTATGCAATGCATTCAAAGTATTTAAGAGATAAAAGATACTCAAGAAAGTCAAATCACTTCTGAATAAATATTTTTTAAATTTAATTGTAACTACACAATAAGTAAGCAAGCCAAAAGCGGCACTTTGAGTCAAAATGTATTTAATTCAGTTAAATAAATAGCATTATCAAAATATTCTTCAACATAACTATTTATTAGTCGTCTTAAAAACAACAACTTCCGTTGAGTGTTCTGAAATTAAATAAATAAGCGCCTGCAATTAATTTATCACTCGATACGAAAAAACAACTTTGCCGCGTTAAAACTATCAATGCTGACTTTACGAGTTACGATTGAATAATTAATATTAAAATAGTAAAAAAACCCAAACCGTTAAAAATTCCCTATGTTGTTATTGAAGTATTTATTATTCAAAACAAGGTTAAGTTAAGAAAAATCTCATATTTCTTTGTGTTAGTAATCGATTAATGTAAACCGAACAATTTGAATATTATTTTTAGTCTGTATTTGGTATCGATTGATCTATGGTGATTGTTGACTTTTTGATTATCTGTTTCGACTTTACTTCCTCATAACTTCTACCTCTTTGATTATCGCTATGCAAGTGTCACACTATCTACGAGTATACTATCTACACTTCTATACTAATATAATAAAACGTAAACATACACTTCTTTGTTGCCTAAGATGTCAACAATTACAGGTTAATTTTGAATATTTATTTTTTAAATAAAAAGCCCTACACTTACGTCACGCTTTAGGCTATACATTAAACTTAGGGGGTAAATATTTTAGATAAAAACCCTAATGTGAGAAAGAGACCAAAGTTGCGGCTAACATCAAGGAAGCAAGATTGCCAAGGTTTGTCATTTCATGTCATTTTGACATTAGCTATTGATAATTTGACAAATGTAAACAATAATATAAAATTTTCATAATTTCATGCGGATGAAGCCGCACGGGAACAGCTAGTCGTTTATAAAATCTTAGTAAATCTATTCAATTGTTTAATTTTGTGTTTCTTTTGATCCAAAAGCCCTCGTTACGTGATAGTTTAAGAACGTCTTTACTCTTTTATATGGCAATAAAGTAATCTGTCGTGTAATACTATTGTAGACAAACAAATACAAAGACTAGACATAGGGAATAACATTTTTTCACTAGTAACTTCTTTAAAAGATGCTGTCTCGGTTTTCAAGTTTTGTACACCACTTGATGACATGTTATAAAATATTTTACAAAATTATTATAAGTTCCATCTTCTTTTGTTATAAAATAAACTAAACACTGTCACGAAATAAAATATAAACATTTAAATATGATTTAGTGACAGCTATTCAATAAAATACAATTAATATTGACGTGTGGTTTTGAGGACCTAACAATAGATCATGTGAAAAATGCAACTATGCTCCCTCTATGTACTATTTGAAACTCTGTGATTGTAAAGGACATATAAATAAATCTACGCAAATATTGTGCCAGTTAAAAAAACTGTCAAATAACCTTATCTGTTAAGATAAAACGGTTTAATTCAACCTTTTATTTTATTAGTATGGTAACTTTTACGTCATGGGATATTACCAACACTGAAGCAATAACGAATTAAGGGAAGTCATTGGCTCCTTTGATTGGATCAACCTAATAAAGGAGCCAAGGATATACATATAATTGAACAAAATACCGAATTTAAAATTAAAAGTGAAAAAAAATGTGAGAAATTTATTTGTAAAATTATATTTAAATTTTTAATATTGTATATTTGTTTGTACACATAAAAAATATTACTAAATAGTTTTTTAATCTAATGTAAATCGTAACATATCAGATATCTGTAGGTCCTGGGTTGAAATCCTGCCATGTACTAATTATTTTACTAATTTCCGAATTTCCTGTACATCACTTTAAGATGTAACATTGAAGGAAAATATGATGTCTGCACAGTCGGCGAAGAAATTCAAAGATATATATACTCGTAAAGTCAATCTGTAGTGGACAAGTGTGGTTGATGGCTTAGTCCCTCTAATTTGGGGTAGTTTTCAAGCCTTTGAGTAAGGTGAGCTGATGAGAGAGAAAGTATAAGAACAACAAAGGAATGGAACAAGTTGCCGGCCTCAGTGTTCCCGTCCAGTTATAACGTGGGTGCCTTCAAGAGCAGGGTGAATCTGCACTTATTGAGCTAGCGCGCTTTATTCTT